CTGTGTGCCGGAGTTACAGGCATGTACCACCATGTCCAACTATAGGATTTGTGACTCCAAATTAATAGTGTGTTGGCATAGTTGTTCTTCATGATGAATATAGTATTCTGAATTTTCTCCAATGGAAGACTGAGAAATCAACAAAAACCAGGAAATTTTCTCAGAGGTAGTAGGAGGGTAAAAGTCAAGTTGTCCTGTCTTGTAAATGTTTTTAGGGATAAGACCAACAGTTATCCCCCTTCCCTCTGCACCCAAGAAGCTTGAGAATGCCACTGTCCAACATGCTAGAACTCACCAGCTGGATGTTGCATCTGTTTGGCAGCAAGACTATTTTTTGTTGTTGTTGTTTATTTTTGAGGCAGGGTCTTGGCCTCAGACTTAGTAGATAAGGATGACTGTGAACTTCTATCATCCTGCCTTTACCTCCTGGTTGTGGTGTACACATCCATGCACAGTTTCTCTGATGCTGGGAGTTGAACTGAGGGCTCCATGCATGCTAGGCAAACACTCTACCAGCGGTGCTACAACCCCTGCCTTAGGCTGGATCTTGAGAGAGCAGGCAGTGGCCACAGTTACAGAGCCAGTCTCCCTTCCTGCTGAAGGACTTCAGTTAGTGGTCTGGCAGTTTGTCAACTTAATTGTAGGAAAATTGAAAAAAATGTAATGCATAGCCATAAAACCCTTAAGGCTGGTTAGTCTTTCTAGATTGCAACCAATGTAATTTTCACTAGCTGATTCCATCTTGATTGTAATATGCTGAGCCCTGGAACTGAAGGCTTCAAGTAAGTCATGGTGTACACAAGGACAGACAGACTCCATCATCTGCCTTCGATGCCAGGGAGAGAGAAATGGCAGAGGGCACTGAACTGAACAATTTGGTTTTGAAATGCCAGTGGGGGGAGGAAACCAATGTCCGGATGGACACAAATGATGCTGGCAACCCCCTGAGTGTAGAGTCTCAGCCAAGTCCTGTAGCGCCCATGCCTTATATGCTGGGGTGCTCTGAAGGGCCATAGCTCAAGACTCAAGCTTCCGTAGAGGAAACAGACAAACCCAAAAGACCACAAACACATTTCCTTCCCATCTGCACTGGCTTACTTAGAAAGGCCTTATTCTTCAGTTTTATAGTTCAAACACGGTGACATCCCAAATCAGATGTCTACGATTTCTCTGATTCTCTGATAATTCAAGATCTGTAAAGGATGTCTGGAACAGTCTTTGCTTCTCCCCTCTGGACTCTGATTTTCTGCACCGAAGACTGACGAACACACGTGTTCATCAATCCTGCTGCCCATTTCTTAGCCCTGAAATATGAAGGGGCTTCCTTTTCTGCTTCAGCATCTCCAGGGAAGAGAGAGACTTTGCTCTCCTTCACGTACCTCCAACCCAGCAATAAGCCCTTTTTGAAGAGTGAAGTTCAGGACCAGAAACAGTGGGATTCTAATGACATCAACTGATGCTTTTTACCACAGACCCAGCAAGTGAGCCCGAGGCCTAGTCCAGATACATGGGGAACCAAGAGGTAGCATACAAGTATTTTTTCCAAGCCCTTTATGAATATAAATATTTAGCGCATGGTGTTTTGCAGAATTAAATCTCCAAGCCCAGATTAGCCTAGTAATATCATTATGTAGATGCCAGGGATGAGATACCTGTGACTGTTGTGTGCCTTGTCATTCAAGGATGCCTGTGACGACTTGATGCACTTTAATTTGCCAGGGCAATCATTAATTGCATATGAAACAGTTGGTGTTTGGCTTGAAGGGAAGCTGATTGGGTCAGTCACTGAGCGTTTGGCTCAATGATCTACAGCTGGCTCTTTGCTCCAGCACCCCTGCTTCCTTTTTGAAAACATTCTCACTCAATGTTTGGGGGACCCCCTGAGGAAGAGACTGTGAAACATTGGGGGTTTTAATCTGTGTTTTCCTTTGGGCATTATAGCTTTAATTTTAATATTTTAGATAATAAAGAATGATTTTAAATTAAATTTCCAAGTCTGCCATCTGTGATTGTTTGGACTTTCCCTCCTCTCTGGCTGTTCTCTGACTTAATGTTCCTTGAACAGGAGGAAAAGTGGGTTTCAAGCAAGGGACACGCAAACAGGACAAGCCCACAGACTCTAGAGAAACAGGGAGAAGCTTTGGCCCTGGAAGTTGGGGTGTTGGGGGGTGATATCCAGAGTCAAAAACTACAAAAGGGAATTCAGATATAATTGTAGTTTCCTATGGTCACCTCTAGATTTGTCTTTGAAAAAGTCATTGACAAGGTCATAGCTTGATTTGCCCGTCTGTTAGAGAAGGGTCCTGTTGCTATAATAAACACCATGACCAAAAGCAACTTGGGGATCAAAGAATTTATTTCATTTTACACTTCTAGGTTACAGTTCATCACCGAGGAAGATGGAGGATGTTCTTCTGTATATATGTTTCTATTATTGGTTGATGGAAAAACACGCTGATTGGCCAGTAGCGAGGCAGGAAGTGTAGGCAGGGCTACCAGATGAGAATTCTGGGGAGAGGATACAGACAGAGGCTGACTACAGAGGGAAGTCAGGGCAGGAACTCAAGGAAGGAAATCTGGAGGCAAGAACCAACAACCAATCAGGTATGATTGCACACGCCTTGATCCCTGTGCTTATGAGGTAGAAGCAAGCAGATCTTCGTGAGTTCAAAGACAGCCTGCTCCACATACAGAGTTGCAAGACAGCAAGGACTACATAGAAAGACTTTGTTTGTTTGTTTGTTTTTGTTTTGAATGGGCAAACACTTTTTACTAGCTTGCTGCATCTAGCTTGTTCCACTACCTTTTTTTGTATAGTCTAGGACCACATGCCTAGGAGTGGTGCTGCCCAAGTTAGCTGGGTCTCCCAGGGTAATAATCAATCAAGACAATCATTTATAGTCAGGGCCAAAACCAAATCTGAGTGATTTTCAGTTGGTGCTCCCTTTTCCCTGGTGTATCACTCTGATAGCAAAAGCTGGTCAGCACCAAAAAAGTGATTTTATTTGTTTGTTTGTTTGGTTTATGGTACTAGGATTGCTAGAAATAAAACCCAGAGTCAAAAGGAAAGAGATCCCTGTTCCAGTAGGAGAGTATGCTAGGAAGAGCGAACACACAGAGGCGGGAGCACTTAGTTTTAGTCTAGTGGTTGACTCTCTCCCCATTGGCTAGGGCCTGACCTCACAGTCTTATTAAAAGAACCGGTCACAGGAAACAAAAAAGGAAAGGGAACAGGGCCGCTGCTCCAAGGGAAAAGGGTCACAGCTTCAGGCTATCAACTCTAGAACTCGATAGGAAATCTTTGAATAAACAATTTGGTATTTGTGTGTGTGATGGGGAACAGTGCTAGGGGAATGTTACTAAAACATTTACATAAACCAGCACCAGAGGCAGAAGCAGTGGATCTCTGTGAGTTCAAGGCCAGCCTGGTCTACAGAGTGAGTGCCAGGACAGCCAGGGCTACACAGAGAAACCCTGTCTCAAAAAAAAAATGTTTTACATAAAAATCTTACAAGGTGGGGAAGATTAAGATTTGAATTCATCTTAAACACAATTGTATTTGATAGATGGACTCACATTTAATATTTCTTACAGGATCGAATTCAGACTCTCACAGATCCTATAGACAGTAGGCAGGAGAAGTAATCTTATTTATGTATTTGTGGAGGTGGAGGTGCTGTGTATGGAATCTAAGGCCTCACACATGCTTTCTGCCTTCAGTTATATCCCCAGTCCTATTATTATTATTATTTATTTTGTTTTGTTTCGAGACAGGGTTTCTCTGGCTGTCCTGGAGCTTGCTTTGAAAACCAGACTGGGCGACAGACCTCACTGAGATCTTCCTGCCTCTTCCTCCCAAGTACTGGGATCAAAGATGTGCGACTCCACCGCCCGGCTTTCCCCCCCTTCTTATTTTTATTATTTCATATGTTATGAAAATGACAAACTCTCACTGTATAGATCAGGCTGTCCTTCAAGTAACTGTATAGACCAGACTGGCCTTAAACTCACAGAGATCTATCTGCATCTGTCTCCTTAGTGCTGGGATTAAAGGCGAGAACACCACACTTGGCTTTTTTTTTTTTTTTAGACAAAATATCACCAAATTGCCCAGACGTGAGCTTCCACTGTAGCCTAATCAGCCAAGTACTCTACAGACTGAACTACAACCCCACCCCCAGCAATGAGACTTTTACAGTAAAGGATGACCCACTGAAGAGGTTTCCAGTTTCCATACTAGGCATCCTCAGAAGACAGCCCCTTGGACCCAGGTGCTGTCCTTATGCACTGAGAGCTGAGACAGTCTGAGTGTCCAGACCTTCAGCTAAACCTGAGAGAGCTCTGCTTCCACGCGCGGTCTTTATGTTGTCAGTGAACCCTTGGAAGGGGAGTGAGGGCACATCATCAACCTCACTGCAGACCACGACATTAATGAGTCAAACGGACAGCGCTTCTGAACACTGAGACAAATGCTGAGCAAATGCCAGGATCAAATGAAAAAGCGCCTGCCAGCAGAGGAGCTGGGATGACAAGTGGGTTAGCCGGGAAAGGCGGGAGTGTGGGGCTTGCACCACACAGCAAGAACTCCTCCACCTTGCCTTCTGTTCCTGGGAGGAGGTTTCTCAGAGGGCCAAGCTTTGCATTGGGGAGAGGATTTAAGGTGAGTTCCAGGGAGGCTTTCTGATGTGTTTTGTTTGGTTTGGTTTGGTTTTTCCAATGGGGAGTTTATCTGGAAAGAAAGATGATGAGACACACAGGGAATGATGGAGTTGTTAGAAGTCTTCACCATAGCTAGTTCGGGGGGCTTTATGTTAAATCACCATGTAACCCAGGCTAGCCTCCAACTCATGATCATCTTGCCTTGCTCGCTCACCCCAGTGTTAGGATTACAGGTGCCCCACCTCATGCAGCCTGGTGGGAGGTTTCATTACCATCAGAGTGAATTGTTTTACATGTGCTGGTCTCCCCCTCATACTCTCCCACCCCAAATTCTGCACATAGAAACAGGTCAAATTCATTGCTCCACGGGTCAAAGGGCAAAGGTTTATAAAATGACCTTGAAGATCAAGGAGGCAAAATCCACGACCCAGAACAAGTCAGAAGCTCAGGTAAGCAGGTAATTATCATATTTCTAAGACCCCCCACACATGACCATCTTTTGTGCCATGTGACTCCTAGAACAAGAGATGAACTCAAGCTCTCTCTCATTCTCCTTTTTTCTCTCAAATATACAACACACACACACACATACACACACACACACACACACACATACACACAGAAAGAGAGACAGAGAGACAGAGATTCTGTCTCCTCCTCTTCCTCTCTAAAATTCCCTTGTTCCCTGGCAGATACAACCTTGGTACCCCCCCCAACAGTGGAAAACAACCCCAACAAGTGCCTATGAAAAAAGCCTTTAAGACTCATGAATATTTAGCTCGTCCTCATGTAAAATATATGACTTTGTGTAAGGATCAGGCGAACGAGGTGCATGATTTTTTTCTGATTTATGGGGCTGGAGACGGATTATTCATAGCAGAGCAGCTGTGTGGAAAGATTCATCCGCTGCAAAATGTGATTGTACATCAGGCAGTGTGTGGGAACGGAGCTATGACTAATGGCTGCTTTACATATAAATGAGAAGGTTTGTGCTAGGAACTGTAAAAAAATACAATCACTCAGCTGACGGGCAGGCTCCTTATCGTGGATGCAGGAGAGAGACCACCAGAAAGGTAGGCAAATAGATGCCTCCCCTCCTCCAGAGCCAGGTCAGGAGATTCAGAGGGTGGAGACAGGAGATGGGGAGCTCTGGAAAAGCAGAAGTCTCTTTTCCTGATCCCTCTCACTCTGCGTTTAACCTGTTCTAGGCCCCATTAAAAGCACACCTGGGCAGAGAATGTCCCAACAGACGTGCTCTGCTGCCCACTCATCTCAAAGTGATTAGCACACTGTAGATCTCTTGAGCTCAGCTTTGGGCTGCCAAGGGTTCGGGTCCGTTTCAGAAATGAGCAATATGCATGGGGTAAACCTCAGAAGAAAAAAATCTCATTGAATCCGAGGCTTCCCTCTGCCACTCCTCAGTCTCTCTTGCTTTCTGTCGCTCATCTCTCTCCTCTCTTGTAGCTGAGACAGGCTGTCTAGACATTGCAGATGTGGACAGATGTTGGGTCTGTAATTTATAACAACGGCCTCCAGAAGGCAATTCCAATTTGTTTCGGTAAGGCTTTGAGTTACAGGCAGAAAAAATATCCTGTAAATACCGTTGACTTACATGGTAACTACACCAAGGGTTTACTTAGTGAGCAATCACCAAGTACAGCATAATTACACATCCCTGAAGATTACTGGAGAATTTAGTGTCACTGAGCAGACAATGACCACCAAACCGAATCTCTGACTTTGGGAAGGGTTAGACAACCCACACTTAGTAGGAATTTATGTCGATTTCTTCAAATTATCAATTAGCCTCTCGATTCTGAGGAGCCTTTCAGTTTCATCTACATCATACATAACCGCTCACCATCATACCACGCTCCAGGCAAGCGCGAGCTGGCTGGAGTCTTCAGCCAATATAGGTTTAGGCCATGCAGTATCTGAGGCTACTCACAAAGCCCTCAGACAAGCATGAGGCTAGTGATTAACTTCCCCATTATCGTAATGGGATACACATTCAGCAGCAGGGTTGAAGGGCACTGAGCCATCTTCACTTCGTCCTGGTGACCAATGATTCAACAGCTGTCTAGTTCAAAAATGCAGCTGACTGGACCACCCACGTTGTGAAGGCTATTCTGGTCGCACTAGTGGGAAATGGTAAGGTAAGGTTTTAGAATACTTTCTCAAGAACTTCAGGTTGCTTCATACTCCCATCTGGGGTGGTGAGTGTGCTGTGGGAGGCTGGTGCTAAGGTTGATAGTTTGTAAAGAAGTTAAATGGTCTGACCTAGATCACAGTGCTGGCATCAGAAGTCAAATTTGCACCGGAGGTTTGTCATTCCTGAGAATTCTGACCAGCTGGCCCCTTTGGGATTAGGGGATCAGAACTGGCTGGCAGCTGGGAGCCTTGGCTTCTCTGGATGTATAGGGTTGCAGCTGAAATAGCCATCAAGGTATCATTTGCTTCAGGCTGGGTGTAGAGGGGAGGGAGGCAGGAATAAAGGGGACAGAGATATGTAGAAATCAAATGAACACATTGTGTTGTATGCCAGTTTTTAATCCATCGCCAACCTCTTCTAGTTGATTTGTTTTGTATAATCATTCCCCCCCCCCAACCTGTCCAGAGATGATCAAAGAAAACTTAAGCTTAATACACCTCTGGCCCCTGGGTTTTCATGGACCCTGAAACAAATACCTCCCGCCTCTTTAAAACCAGCTATTGCAGTTGGGTAGTGGTGGCACATGTATGTTTTTAATCCCAGCATTTGGGAGGCAGAGCAGGTGGATCTTGGTGAATTTGAGGCCAGCCTGGTCTACAGAACTAGTTCCAGGCCTACACAGAAAAACCCTGTCTCAAAAAACATAAAACCAAAAAAAAAAAAAAAAAAAGAGAGAGAGAGAGAGAGAGAGAGAGAGAACAGATATTGCCTAGAGAATCTTAATTCTTTGTAACTGTTGTTTGAATATTCTCTCATTCTCCCTGACTCCTGCTTATGGTATGCTTGGTAGCCATCCAACTAGGGTGATATCTTGCCCTCACCTGAAGTGGTCTACTTTAATATGTTAGTGGAGTTTCGGCACCAATCACTACCTGGGAGGGAAGGCTACTGGAGCCGAAGGAAGAGAGAGAGAGACAATTACAATCAAAAGTACACTGCCTTGGCAAGCACTGGCCACTGGGCATGACCTCAGTTCTGCCTAGAAGAAAAGATGTTAGCTGCAAAAGATGGATTTAGGAAGTAATTTGTGTCTTAGAAGTTTAAAGTTCTCCACTTGGGCTTCATGGTCAATTTAAGGCCGGTTCGGGAGACAGTGAAACTATGTCTCAAATGAAGTAACAAACAGAAAAGCTGCCGACCTGCGACTGTAGCTCTGTCAATAGAATGGTTCCTTTGTTGCACTGCAGTATGAAGAAGCTGCACTTTCCATCCTCAGTACTGAGTAAGCCAGGTGCATTGGCATGTGCCTGTAACCTTAGCACTGAGGGGGTGGGAGCCGGAGGGTCAAAAGTTGGAGGTTGTCTGCAGCTATAAAGCAAGTTTAAAGCTAGCCTATACTATAGGAAGATCCCATTAAAAAAATAGTATTTGATCCAGGAAAATGTGCCATAGTCTCAGCACTTAGTAAACAGAGCCAGGAGGATCACAGTTTCAAGGACAGCCTAGGCTACATAGTGTAACCCTGACATCCTCACTGCCAAAGAAAAGAACTTTAAGGTTTGGGGTGCAGTGCTGAGATTCCTGAGACATGCTTTTTTAAAAATAATTTATTCATCCTTATTTTATGTACATTGATGTTTTGCCTTCATGTGTGTCTGGGTGAGGGTGTCAGATCTTGGGGTTACAGACAATTGTTAGCTGCCATGTGGGTGCTGGGAATTGAACCCAGGTCCTCTGGAGGACCAGTTAGTGCTCTTAACTGCTGAGCCATCTCTCCAGCCCCTGAGATGTGTTTTTATGATGACTTTGAAAATTACATGTGCATGCTGCCTTCCAGGGACCTGTGAGATCCCACTGGGATGTGGATGATGATAACCTGGAGCTCTCAACCACAGAGATGCTTCTCAGGGCACCACGCCCCATACGGAGTCCAGGAGGGCTGTGGGTAGATGGAAGGATGCTCTCTGGTCAGGAGAGACAATGGAACTATAGTAAACAATGTTAATAGTCAGTAAGACTAGAGAGGTTATTGTATGCCAGGTGTGGATTATCTCCTTGATGATCCATCCACACATTAGCTCTTTAAAGAAAAATGGACCAGGGGGCTGGAGAGATGACTCAGTGGTTAAGAGCACTAACTGATCCTCCAGAGGTCCTGAGTTCAATTCCCAGAACCCACATGGTGACTCACAGCCGTCTGTAATGGGATCAGATACCTTCTTCTGATGTGCATAAAGACAGAACACTTATATACATAAAATACATGAATAAATACATCTAAAAAAAGAAAAGAAAAATGTATCCGCTGCTGGAGGGCGAAGCGATCCTCAAAGAGGAAGATCAGCACTCATACATTGTCCCACTCCGTCTTCTGTGAGCGTTAGCTGGAAGGCCAAGTACAATTTCCAGGTGTGGAAGACAGAAATGAGCGGGGAAGGAGGTGCAGGGATTTGGATTCATAGAAGTCTTCAAGGAGTGAGCTTCAAGGTTCAGACTTGGGTGCTGCCACTCGAGTGGAGATATCCCTGGACTGTGAGAGAGCTAAAGAGAGGATGGACTTCTCACATGTATAACTATATGCATGATCATATGTTACATACTACATGCACATACATATCTGTGTATCACCTGGTACTTAAAGACTTCTGAACTACTGGGAAAAGACCAAATATCTCAAGCACAAGGAATTATTTCACAAGGTGTTAACATCTTCTGTAGGCCTCTGTTTTGCTTTGTTTGAGACAGGTTCTCTCTATATAGCCTGGCTGTCCTGGAACTCACAGAGATCCACCTTTCTCTGCCTCCCCAGCCCTGGGATTAAAGGCGTGCACCTCCAAGCCTGGGATGTTGGAGGAGGAAAGATGGAACAAGATGAGGAAGAACACACATTCAAATGTTTACAGTGGGCTCAAAGCCCAGTCTTAGTTTTCCAGACTTAATCATGTCCCAGGCAAGCTTGATACCTTAGATGTCACATGTGTGTCTGGGAAGGTCTCGGGCAGGGAACGTCAGATCCAGAGCCCAACATTAGGTATTTTTCTAGTACTGATCTCAAGGGTTCTAAACTAGATTATTTGGAATATAGAAGAACAGGAACATGCGGGTGGTGGTGGCACACGCCTTTGATCCCAGCACTCAGAAGGCAGAGGTAGGCGGATCTCTGTGAGTTCGAGACTAGCCTGGTCTACAAGAGCAAGTTCCAGGACAGACTCCAAAACAATACAGAGAAACCCTGTCTTGAAAAGCCAAAAAAAAAAAAAAAAAAAGCCCAGGGTTGAATTCTATCCTTTTCTGTTTATTAGCTCTCCATCTATTTATCCATTCAACAAATATTTAATAAAAGACATCATGTACTAGATGAGTGCCCTCTTTGGGGGCAAGCTGTTTAACTCAGCTACTTTTAATTCCCTCTTCTTGAAGGTAAGAATAATGTAACTACATATCACAGTTGTACACACAGTTGATACTGGATAAATGCTTGAATGTTCCAACAATAATTTTCTAATAATAACTTTCCTTGCTGACATTTCTCTCCAAAAGTAATTGATCTACATCTTGGGGAATTTTGTACCAACCTGGAGGATCACCACTTCTTATAGGCAACATTAACACTGGGTGAGGACATGACTCTTCTTTGGCAGAAGACAGCATGGGATAGGCTCAATCTTGGGTCTTCTCTCTCTAGGCTGTGAGCCCTTCATGGGCTGAGACTGTGTCTTCATATGTTCACCATGGTGGCCATAGTATGTTTGACAGTGCCTCAGAAAGGACAGATGTGGGACTAGAGAGCTGCTCAGCAGTTAGGAGTGCGTGCTGCTCTTCCAGAGGGTCCAAAAATGGGTCTAGCACATCTCATAACCACCTGTAACTCAGTTTTAGGGACTCTGACCTCCTCTTCTGTCCTCAGTGGGCACACACACACCTTTAATAAAAAAAAGCAGATGTTTGCTAAATGGGCAAAGGGTGGAACAGGAATTCTAGTACTAAGGTGGTCCTGTAGGACTCTCGTTGCTGCATTCAGCAAATAATCATCACCTTCAGTACCTCCGAGGCACTATGCCAGGTGCTGGGGAATATAATGATGAGTAAAACAGACTGGACCCCTGCCTTTGTGGAGCTCAGAGTCAGGAGGAGAATAGAGGCTATGCTCAAACACTTGAAAAAGGAAACAAATGGTACTAGAGTATATTTATGCATATAAGCATACATATAGGAAGGAGGGTACAGTGGTTTGGGTGACATGCCCCCGTAGGCTCAGGTGTTTGAACGCTTGGTCCTCAGTTTGTGGCACTGCTTGGGGAGGTCTAGGAGGGTGGCCTACTTGGAAAAAGTCTGTCACTAGAGGTAGACTCTGCATCATTGCTGTTTCTCTCTCTTTCTTTCTGCTTTGTGCTGTGGTAAAGGATGATTTCTCATCATTGTGCTCCTAAAGCCATGCCTGCTGCTAGCTGCCGTGTCTCCCCATCATGGTGGACTCTTCTCCCTCCAGAACTACAGGCTCAAATAAACTCTTTCTTCTATAAGTTGCCTTGGTCATGGTGTTTTATCGAAGCAATGGAAAAGTAACTAATACAGAGTTGGTGCTGACCAAGTCCAAGTAATCACAAGGTTTTTCCAAGGTGCAGTATTGTCTGCAGACATCTGCAGTAGGAGCTGGGTTAAGGCCAGGCTGGTAGTGGTTACGGGAAATCTTTCCCAATGGCTGCTTCCAGTGTGGCACATTTAGACCTTCGGGAAAGGTGAGCACGGCTGGAAGATGGATTTTAACCATGAATATTGAGCCAAGGAGCTGGAGGGATAAGTTTTGGCCTTTCTCTCAAGAGCAAGAGGACACCACTGAATGTTTTAAGTTCAGAGCCAGTGGTGGTACTGAGTTCCCTAGGTAACAGATGGCAGTGACCTTGGAATGCAGTGAGGGGGTGACAGCAGAGATGAGAATGGGTGATCCCTGTGCTCTAGAGTGAGCTGAGGAGGTTCACTGACAGCTTGGGACCTACAGTTTGCAGATGGAGATGAGGGAGGAGCAGAGCTGACTCTTGGGTTTGGGTTTTTATGTTGTTTTGGTTTTGTTTGTTTGTTTGTTTGTTTGTTTTTCAAGACAGTGTTTCCTTGTGCAGCCCTGTCTGCCCAGGAACTTACTCTGTAGACCAGGCTGACCTCAGACTCCACCTGCCTCTGCCTCCCAAGTGCTACATCTTCCAAGGTGTAAGCCATCACCACCCCAGGTGACTCCTGGGTTTGTAAAACTTATTCTTAGCATCTGTCTGCTCCTTGAGGACTTTTGTGAAAGGTCCTCCTTCCTGGCCACGGGTGTGTTCAGTTCTGATGCCTTCAAGAGGAGAGTGGGTTTCTGTTCCAGAGGATGAAGGAAAGAGAAGAATCCCTGCTGAACCTGGGCTTATGGAGAAGGTCGTTTCCCCCAAGCAACCCCTTGTTATTCAGGCACTCGCCCAAACCCAAACATGCATCTTTTCCCTCTCTGACCTCGCAGACCTACAAAGACTTCCAAGCACTCCCTGCAGGCCACTCCATTCTGCCCCTATTTATCCTCAGCTCCCCAAAGCTCCTGCACCCCTCCTTTCTCCTCCAGACCTCCCCCTCATTCCAGCCCCAGCCTCTCGTGCTTCCACTTCACCCTATTAAGAAACAACCACCCCACAGAAGCCTCTGCCCCTGGCGGCTGCTCCCTGAGCCCCGCCCGCCATCCCTCCTCCTGCTCCTGCTCCCTGACAGATGCCTCAGAGCCCCGGGCCGCAGTTAAGGTGACGAGATGCAGCAATTCTTTATGAACATTTCATTCCTGCTCGCTACACGACGTAAATTAGATGGTGTGTTACATTCGGGCAATAAGAGAGATATGTCACCACGACGCTGGCCCATTGGATGGAGAGGGTAATCCTGCCGTGAATTTCATTACTGCTTTTATATAGACAGAATTAGCTCGGTGACAGCGAGCCTGATTGTCTTTCACTAGGGGTTTGGCGAAGAGCTGAACGGATTTCACCCTGATGTGCACACTACTGAGTGACCCTGCTCACCAGCGGCTCTGCTGATTGCTTTGCACCTTGCAGACTCCGCAACTGGCTCAGCCTCATGCCCGCCTCACTCCCTCCGGGTCTCCAGCCCACCCCACCCTTGCTGGCTTTCTCTGAAGCCAAAGCCAGGAGACCTAACATGGAAGTCACAAGGTCATGAAGGGATTTGTCCGCGGAGAGGAACAGGGCGGCAGAGCTAAAACCAAAAGAAAACACAAAAACCTTCTGTGACTATGCTCTCCTAGCCCGGTGCTGGGGTCACTCACTCTCACAGCTCCTAGGAATGGGTAGAAAGTCCATGGCTCTCTAGCGGGGGAGCTGGTACATCCTCTTAGGTGTCCCCAGCAGAAACTGTGCAGCGTTCTTTGGGTTCCTGTCTCTTGGCCTCCTGTGTTTCTGCAGCAGATTCCCTTCCTTGCACTGGCTAAGTCACCCTAACCCCATACATAACACTCAGAGACCAGATGGCCCCAAACTAGCCGACTGCAAAACCAGACCAAGGCTTTCCTTCCTAGGTCTTTGCCTTGGAATGGCTGATCCTGACAGAGCCAGCCCAGCCCCTCCCTGGTACTCAGCTTTCTGTCCACTCCCTCCCTCATCCCTGTTGACCCCTCAGCCATGGCCTTCTGCCAAGGCCTTCCTGAAGCAGCTGTCTGTTCCTGGGGTTGGTCAGGGACACGAACCATCACTAGGCCCCTGATCACCACTCTGGTTCTTTCCAGAAGACTCCAGAAAGATTCTCTGAGCTTCTCTATTCCTTGGGGTTTAAGGAACCAGGTGTGGAGCAGACATCATAATCTCAGAGACTCCTTTCCTTTCGGTCAGTCACACATCTGTGAGGGAAGCTGCTCTTGTCACTCAGAGCAGTGAGGGCCAAGGCTGGGTTGGGAGGCATTAAGGTCACAGTGTCCACTTTCCAGTAGGGGAGGGGGTTTCTGGAGCTCAACAGAGATCCTAGCTGGGCGTGTGGGTGCTGGAGGCCTGAAGTAGAGTCTCTAAATGCTGATAAGTTTCCTAGGAACATCCAACTGAGCATTCCCTCTCAGTTGCCGCCATTACCTGTCAGCCTGCCCGTGGTCACATCCCTTTTCTTTTTTTTTTTTTTTTCCCCGAGACAGGGTTTCTCTATATTGTTTTGGAGGCTGTCCTGGAACTCTCTCTGTAGACCAGCCCGGCCTCGAACTCACAGAGATCCGCCTGCCTCTGCCTCCCGAGTGCTGGGATTAAAGGCGTGCGCCACCACCGCCCGGCTTACATCCCTTTTCTAACACAACTTGCACCTATGGGTCCTGACACTTCCCACCAGGTCAGGGCAATTTGGAGGGAAGGGACTGTGATAGGCTAACGTCTTTTGGGAGACCAAGACAGCCTAACTTCCCTCTTCCCAGCCCTGTGTCTTTCTAGTTTTATTGTCATCATTATCACCATTATCATTTTATATGGATGGATGTTTTGTTCTGTATCACACGCATGCCTGGTGAGGCCAGAAGGGGGTGTTGGATCCCCTGGAACTGGTGTGCGGGTGCTGGGAATTGAACCCGGGTCCTCTGGAAGAACAGCCAGCGCTCTTCAGTGCTGAGCATCTCTCCAGGCCCTTCTTCTCAGTCTATCTCAGCAGAGCATGGTAGAATGCTTGCACAGAATGCTCCATTACAGTCAGCAACCAGATCCCACCTGGAAACAGTTCCCATCCTACATGCTACTGGGGCCACAGCAAGATTAAAGGGTGTAAAATATAGTTTCCTGAGAGATACAGCTGCTGCCTTTTGTCATCAGGGTTAACATTGTGATTGCCACCATTGTCACAGCTGGCCCCACTCAGCTGTACAACAGAGGTCAGTATATAGATAAATGCCCAGCCTTCTTGCTTTACCCTAAGGACAAGGTCCTCTATATTTTGTACTTTATTTCTTCATCAGAATGACCTTCCCAGCTGACCAACTTGTTATTCAGGAAGACAGTAATCATCTCAAGGATTTAGGGGTTCAAACAGTTCTGCAGTTCTGTTACCCACATCTTGTTTTTAGTTTAGTTTGGTTTTTTTTTTTTTTTTTTTTTTTGGTTTTTCGAGACAGGGTTTCTCTGTATTGTTTTGGAGGCTATCGGTCCAGCCCAGCCTCGAACTCACAGAGATCCGCCTGCCTCTGCCTCCCGAGTGCTGGGATTAAAGGCGTGCGCCACCACCGCCCGGCCTAGTTTAGTTTGGTTTTTGAGGCAGCCCAGGCTGGCCTTGAAATTGCTGTATAGCCAAGGATGACTTTGATTTCCTGTCTTCCTGCTTCAACCTCCTGAGTGCTGGGATTACAAGTGTGAGCCACTACAGTTTTATGCAGTGCTGGAGACTGGATCCAGGGCTTCCTGCGTGCTAAGTAAGCACTCTGCTTACTTACTGAGCCACACCCTGAGGCCCACTAAGAAAGAATCAATGGGCTATACCCATAGCATTTTTCCTTTTATACTCTATGGGTGTGTTACTAGTTGGCTTCCTAAGCATAGACTTTCCTCATACAAACCAAAGCTTCCATCATTACAGTGAGGGTGGAGTAAGTTCCCAAGGAAAGCCTGAGAGCAGAATCTCCTGCTTTAAGTTATGATTCCTCCTCCACCTTATCTGCAGAGCCAGGAAACAATGGACTAGTCACATAACTCAGCAGGTAAAAGCGATTGCCCAATGTCTTCCCATGAATGTCCAGAACCCCATAAAGGCAGAATAGAGAGAACTGATTCCACAAGGAGGTCCTCTGACCTCCACAGAGCACTATGGCACATGCATGCCCCCTTCCTCACAATAATGATAGATTTAAAAAGTTTTACATTTAAAAATCTAAGGTGTCTTTCTCCCAGGTTGGCAGTGGTCTGTGTGACTCCTGGGTTCACAGCCTTATCAGCCCCTTTGGAATGAATGACTAGTAGAAGTCTTGCCAGTGGAGCCAGATATGTCCTCAGGGCTTGTACCCAGGCTCTTCCGGGTGCCAGGGTTCTCTGAAAAGCAAAGGTCTAGGTCTTTCGCCCATGAGCTTTCTGTGCAAGGCTATGGATGCTGAGCAGAGCCAGGGAGCTGAGGGATGGAGTTTCTCACCCTACCCCCACCCTCTTCTGACATCACAACCTTCACTTCCTGACACTAATTGGTTGCCTTGGAAACAAGTTCCTTAAAGAGCTGGATGACTGGATGTGGTGGGAGGGAGAACCACAGGAGCCAGCCTTGTCACAAAGAAGCCATAGAATCCTTCAAATCAAGCAGAGCTTCCCAGAGTTGCTCTCCACCTTGGTACACATCGCCAGTGTGGAGGAAGAGAGATGCCAACGCAGGGAAATGCTGTGGGCATTGATGGTTCACATTTCTTTCCTTTTTGTTTTGCTTATCTGAGATAGGGTTTCTCTGTGTAGCCCTGGCAGTTCTGGTACTCAATCTATAGACCAGAGACCAGGCTGGTCTTGAAGTCACAGAGATCCGCCTGTCTCTGCCTCCCAATTGCTGGGATTAA